GCACCCCACTTTGCTGGCAGGGGATGGGTCACCTGGCTCCTACGTTGTGCCATGGGATCCCTCCAAAACAGGGCCTCAGTGGGTCAGTGATGGGGCTGCTGGGAAGTGGGTGCATCACAGTGTCCTCGGAGCTGGCCGGGAGCCCCGAGCAGAGCGGGGTAGGGGCTTGGCGTTAGCCCCAGCCAGGGCTGGTGCCCTAGGACCAGTTCTTGCCCCGAGGCAGAGCCAGGAGTGGAGCAGCAGCGGCATGTGGTGTCGGCGGCAAACCTCTTGCAGGCCACACGGCCTCATCTGAAAATAATGCTTGGATGACCCCGTGAGCCTTCAGAAGGCCCCATGCAGAAGGGAGGGGAGGATCTGGGCTTGATGGAGTCCCACCAGCTTGGGCGATGTGCCCTACGCTGAGCTCTGGCTCTCCTCTCGCCCTGCCGTGGAGGTGATGCACCAGAGCAGGGCTGGGGTCAGGCTGGAGTGGAGGATGGATGCCTTCAAAGCAGAGTTACCGAGAAACCCCTGGTGCTATTGTCTCCAGGTGGTGACAGCAAGAGGGCTCCTTGCCAGGGGAAGCCAAAGCTGTGGAGAGTCTGGGAGGTGGGATGGAGAGGCCAGGCAGATGCTGTGATCGAAGGGGAGGGCATGTGGTTTTTCCTGCTCAGGGTCCCACTCATTCAGAGCAGGAGATGTCTCCTGTCCCTCCCCAGCCTGGGGGAAGCTGCCAAAGGAGGGAGGGGAGGATCGTGCTCTGCATGGCCGCTCCGGAGAGGATGGAGCTAATGGGCTTAAAATGCATTAAAGCGGATTTTGGATAGAAGCAGAGGAAAAACTGGCTGGCAGTCAAGGCAGGAGGAGACAGCCCAGGGAGTAGGGCAGCTCCCTGCTGGGGGCGCTGAGGAGCAGAACTGATGCATCCATCAAGCTGGGCAGGGATTTTGCCATTACTGCCACGACGCAGTGGACAGGGGACCTGGACGTCCCCATACCCAATGTTACCCTGACTGGTCCCAGCTGCCCACACCCAGCCAGTGTCAGCCGTGGCAATCCGAGCTGGCAGCTCCTGGCTGTTAGCTTTGGGATTGGCCATTTCTGCAAGTGAGGAGAGCATCCCTAGTTGTATTAGGCAGGATTAGGAAATAGGAGGCATCTCGACCTCAGAGCTGTGCCCACCAAGCCCTCCCGGCACATGGGGTGCCAGGGAGAAATCGTGCCTGGCATGGTGTCCCTGGGGACCACAGGACTCGTCTCCCTGGCCCTCAGCCCTTCCCCAAGGGAGCTGGCATGTCATTAGGAACAACCCTGCAAATCCATCATCAGACACACTGACTTCAGTCCTCCTCTGGGGAAATACCAAGCAAAATTGAGGGTGTCCTGTTGCCGAGGTTTGTGGGTTTGGCAGGAAGGGCACTTCCCTATCAATGCTGTTGCTGCTTCCCAGTGAAATCCCAAGAAATTTGATTCCAGCAAAAATAATGGAGAGAAAAGAAGGTGATGCTGAAATAAAAAAGGAGGGAGATGATACCAGAACGTCTGAATGGAACTAAATAATGCTCTTTCTGTCTTTTCTTTATTTAGCTTCAATTTTTATATTTAAATTGAGCAGGATCTAGCTGAAATGGAGTTAGTTCTGATGGACAATGCCTATTCAATGTAACTGGGGCTTATTCACAAGCCTTACACCGGCTTTAACTACAGGAAGAAATGAGCTTCCTATTCATTTTGATTGCACCTCCCCTATCTTTCTAAACAGATTTTGGATTTCCAAGTGGTTTTGAACAAATGGGAACATCAGAAAATTTTCCTGAGGGTCCCCAAGGCTGTCAGAATGTTTGCAGAAGCGGAGAAGTTTTCACCTTTCCCCACTAGCAAGGGCCGTGGGGTTTATCCAGGGAAAAGTGTTCAAATCAGCAGACACTCTCTATTGGGTATCACAGGCCGAACAACACAGAAATAAAGTGATTTTCTATCTTTAATACTGCATTTGTGGCAGGGGATGATGCTTAAGTCACAGCTGAGGCCAAAATCCCCTGGAATGTACCATTCTCTGGTGGAATGCAGCACAGCTCCGTGAAGGTATCCTCAGCCCAAGGTCGGTCCTCTGGCACCCACCCGCCTGCTGGAGGTCCCCGGGGAGGGGTGAGAGCAAGGGGCTGGTGGTGGGAGGCTCTGTGCCAGCCTCGGCACCCCCAGGCGCAGGGGAGGCAGGGGAAAGCATGGCGCCAGTCCCGGCTGCAGGTAGGGACTGCCCGCTTGCTGCTCACCTCTCTTGGGAGATGTGATGAGGAGAGGGAGGAGGGGAAAAAAAACAACCCTAAATGTCAGCAGCAGATGAAGGGTGTTGGAAAATTTAATCTTCCAACTTTCTCAACTAATGTGACATTTGGATTTCCTCTCGATAAGCTATCAGCCCCAGAAGTTTCTTTCTTTTGCCTGTGTCCTTTTTTTTTTCCCTTCTTCTCTCCTCTGGCTGGTAATTTAAAAATAAATAGTCTAGAAAGATCTCTAAACAGTACCTTTGGCAAAGATTTAAAAAAGCGAAGGGGGCTAGGGGAGCAGGCTGGTGGGAGAGGCTGATTGTTATTTATAACCTGGGCTGCTATAAAAGCAGGAACATGGCTGCAGAGCACAGCGTCTCCCTCCCTGGCATTAAATTACCGCATTTCAGGAAAAGCTGAGATATTTAAGGAGAAAGGCCCTTTTGCACAGTCTTGAAATTTCTTAGTCATGTGCCTTGGAGCTTGCTGCGGGGGCAGAGGGCAGGACTGCAGCCCTGGGGATGGGCTTCAGCCCCCCCGCTCAGCCTGCCGCGCTTGCCCTGAGAGCTGGCGCAGGGCAGTGGTGGGTTTGCAGTTAAAGGGGAAAAAAAAATCCTTCTGAATTTGGGAAAAAAAAAGGGGGGTTGAGATTTCCTCAGACTCCCCAAATGGGCTGACATACTTTGTTTGGATGGTTTCAAAATCTTTCAGTCTCAAAATGTGGGAGCAGCCTCCCCCAAGACAGCTTGTGCAGGGAGAGCAGGAACGTGTGCTGTTCAGATCCAAAAGCTGGCCCTTTCTTGTAAAAAATGGCACTTTCTAGCAACAACAACAACAAAACACTTCTGCCAAGAAGCCCCCGGCTCCCACCGCAAGGCGATGCTGCTGGTGGGGGCTACATGGGCGCAGCCAGGGGCTTTGCCGGGCAGGAAGACATGCCTGCGGAGGACAGCAGTGAATCCTCCACCTTTGCAAAGGCTTTGAGGCTTGCAGGTGAATTGAGCCACACATCCCATTTGTATTCATTATTAGTAGTAATCATAGCATGTTGATATGAATATTTTGCTGGGTTTTCCAGACTTAGCATGGATGGGCGCCCCTAGGAAATTTAAAAGGATATATTGGGATCTCGGTACAATAGATTCTTGCTTAGGCCTATGAGGGGCAGGACATGGGATGCAGGGATGCTGTCGGGGTGCTGTGGCTCACAGGAGCCCTGCTGGTGCCAAGTGTACCAGGAGGAGCACCATGGGGGAAGGCTGCGGCTACCCACAAGTCCGGAGCTGCGAAACCCCAGCTGGGATCCCGGAGCAGCCGCCTGCACTGCTAGCCAGATCAGCCCTCCATTTTCATCTGTGCTGCCATTTGAACAGTCATCATTAGCTGTGATGGCTCGTTCCCATGGAGATGAGCACTGAACAGGGATGTCTGCATCCACCAGAGCTGCCTGGCTGAGACATTGCTGCGGTGCCAGGTCACATCCCCAGCTCCATCCACAGGTCCAAACCTGGTCACTGGTGGGGACCCCTGATAGTCCTTGTGCCCATGGGCAGGCTGGCTGTCCTCTCGCAGCAGCAGCCTGGATGTGATGGAAGGCAGGTAATTGCCGAGAGCGTGGCAGCCTCCAGAAGAGCTGTTGAGAGGTGCCACTGGTGCTCACTGGGTATTGGGGTTTTGTCCCATCTGTCATTTTGGGAGACTCAAGAGAAAATGTTGTGACTGGCAACCCAGGTGCTAAAGCACTGAAGATGGCAAAAGCTCTCGGCATGTGATGGCTTCTTGCTGAAGCAATAAATACGTATAATATTGATATATAGCCATGGAGTCAATTTCTAATGGTGTGTAGCAAATAATCTATTCAAACTGTAGCATCTATTTGTGTTACGTTGTACATATTGTAACAGATAAAAAGATGTTTCCAAGTTCTTTTGAAATGTAATGATGAGAAATACTGCAAAATCTGGCTGGGGGCCTGCCAAGATGCTCTCAGTTAAACTGGTGTAAATCCAGAAGAACTTGAATCATCTTCTTCTTTGCTCTGATACAAATTTAATGCATAATTTCTTCCTCTGGCCTTCCCGAGGTGGCTCCTTGTAGCCCCAGCTTAGCACTGAGGTGCTCCCATCCCTGCCTGGGCTGATGACGGCTTTGCCTGCCTTCATCCGGGAGGAAATGACCCCATTTCAGGGGCCAAATTCAGCCTGCCTTAAACAGGAATAACTCGGTTGAGGTCAGGAGATTTATGGATAAAGGATAAACGTAGCTTGGATAACATCAGCTATTTCTGCAGGTCTGTTTGCCATATAGGTGTCAGTGATGCATGAAGTGTCCTACGTATAGATAGCTGTATATTTGTCTCCAAGATCTATACATATGCCTCTTTACAGCTACATGAATGAGAGCAGCCAGACAGCGCTGAACCTGGCAGAATACAAATTAGCCCCTCAGAAGTGGGTGATATAACAGAATAATGATGAACAGAGGAGCAGTGATTATACACAGTAGTTCCAGCTCCGGTGAAGTGGGGAATAACCATGCCAGCGTGGGGGAAACAGGGAAGGTTAGATTTTCTGGGCTCCTGGTGGTGGCAGAGGCAGCGGATAGGCCGGACCGAGGCAGGGTGCCCCGCTGATTTGAGATGGAGAGGGACAGGGAGGTGTCACCAGGACTTTGCTCAGGAAAAAAAAGGTTTTAGTGTCAAAGCAGAGTTTTTGGTGCTGCAGGTGCCCTTGGGGCCACAGCTTTATCCCATCTAAAGACTTTTTCAGCAGGTGCCACTAAATCACCGTCTGATGCTCAGAGAGGTTGGCAGCGACAAACTATTGTGTGTGCAACTGCTTTCCCCCCAAGACCTAATCCCACACTGATGGCAGGCTCAGGACTGGATCTACTGTCCAGATAGCCCGTGGCCTGGCATGCAGCTGGGGTGCCAGCTCTGCTGCAGCATCGCGGCTTTGCAGAGAGTCCAGCAGTCAGTTTTGTGCCTTTTCGCCAGATTTACTTGAAATTTGATAGCATAATCTGGATTTCGATCTTGATGACATGGCTTGGGGGAGGTGGGGACAGTTTCTGCCCAACCTCCAGCTTGGCTACTGTGGCTATAATTGAGTTCGGAATCTTTCTGGGTGGCTGGAGTCCCTACACTGGGGTCAGCTTGGTGGTGTATTTACACTCACAATCCATTGGCTGGAATTAAAACCCGAACCTTGCGTATCAATCCTGTTACTCTCCCGAACTGTGGAGAATGGTTTGGCCACCCATCACAATGTCAGGGGAATGTCACCACCTTGGTGGCTGGCCGGAGCTGGTGCAGGGGAAGTGGTATCTCTCTGTGTCATCTGCGAAGGGGAAACAGGGAGGAGGCCAGGATGAGTTTTAAACAAGCTTTGTAGTTTATCTGCCAAACACATATTTTTTTCTTTAAATATGTGGCTTTTCCCATGAGAAATTCACATCTTTTATCTCCTGGGTTTTGTTGAGAGCAGCCTGACCAGTGGGAGAGCTGCTTGCTTGGGGCCATTAAGGGCAGCAGGATGGGACTGTTCCCTACCCCTCGGCGCTGCTGGTGCTGGGGTGCTTTGCCATGGGATGTCACGGGGCATCCCTCCAGATGGATGGACCCAGCACAGCACTGCACAAGCCCTGCCTGGAGCTGCTCACACTTCCAGTCACGTCCGCTGTCGTTTCTGCGGGGTTGATCTCTGCTACTGCAATCAGACGGCCTTACACAGGCTCCGAGATAGGCACTTCTCACAGGGAGGCACAAAGGAAGAGGCATTGAGCTGCTTCTTGAGGGGAATTCGTTCACTCACTGGGTGGCTCGGCAGCCGGATCCACTCCTACTCTGCCCCTGCCCCATTTTGCTCCCGCGGCCAGGGTCCATGGGAAGGTGGCCAGAGCCGTCCTGCTCCCCAGCTCAAGCTTGGCATGTCCCTGCTCGTGTATTGCCTGTACCTGCCCACAGATGGGGTAGGCAGCTCTGTGCTGGGCCCCTCTTCAGCAGGGATGTAGCTCCGGGGACACAGAGGGCAGATGCTGCATCCTCCTCCTCCTCCCCACCCTAAGCATCTCACAGCCAGCTGCAAACAGCCTTCTCCCACTGCTGGGCCCATGGCAGAAAAGTGGCAGCCCAGAGCCAGTGCCTTCTCCTGGCTTTCTTTTCTCCCAGCAGGATGGCAAAGGTGACCTCCCCAGCTCTGTGGCAAGGCCAGCCCCGTCCTCCCACTTCCCTGCATGGCCCTGCACCTTGGCTGGGACCCTGTCCCCCTGCCTGCAACCACCCAGCCATTCTGCCTGCACCAGCTCAGCCCCACCCTGCCTTGCTGGAGGGTTTTTACCTCCATATTGGCAGCAGAGCCCCGGGAAGGGAGAGGAGGGCTGGGAAGGCAAGGGAGTGCGTTCCAGTGCCGACGGTGGGGAATTCGCCGTCTCTCCACCATAATTAAATATTGTTTGCATTGCTTATTGACAGAGCGCTAAGCTGCACTCCATTTTAATTTGTTCTTTGATAGTTGCCTTTTGCTGCTAATTGATTTTCAAGGCTTTTTTTTTTGTTTGGGTTTTTTTCTTGTCTGATTTAATACCTGCTATGCTACCAAAGACAGAGAGTCAAGGGTAGCCAACACCTTTATGCCCACCCATTCCCCTGTGCCACTGGCACAGGCTGCAGGCTTAATCCGGCATGAGAGCTGGCATTGCCAGTCTCCCCAGGGGGATGTTTGGTGATGGGCTTTGGGCAGTGGCATTCCCGGTGTGCATCCAGGGCTGGCACACCTTGGGGTGACCCTGTGTGCTCTGCTTCTTCCCCAGGACGATCCTGACGGAGAAGAGATCGAGAGGGAGAAGTCCAACTCCTTGAAGCTGGAGTTCACCGATGACGCCAACTTCAAGACCAAGGTTAACTATTCATACGCTGCTGTGCAGATCCCCACGGACATCTACAAAGGCTGTGAGTGCCGCTCCTCACCCACTCCACTCCACTCTGTGCTGCCAGGCTGGGCTTAGCCTCCATCTCTCTTGCTCTGGGTCCCACAGCTCCAGGGACCAGCACCCCTGGGTGCCCCGGCTGGGTGTCCATGCCAGGGCAGGCTGGCTCCCAGCCGGGCGGGCAGTGAGAAGAGGCAGAGTCACCATGTCAGGACAGAGGTGACTAGATGTCCCTCCCCAGGGACCCTCAGGAGCTCAGCACGGGCCAAAGAGGCAAATCAGGGGGTTAGGGGTAATTAGGAAGGGATGGAGAGCAAAAGAGAAATGGTAATTATGGCACTGGGTAAAGCCCAGCTGCGCCCACATGGCTGTGATTCTCCCTGTAGAAGAGCTCCGCAAAGCTCGAGGAGGTTTAAAGTGGGCGCTGGAGATGATCAGAGGGACAGAGCGGCTCTGTGCAGGAGCAATTACAGGGGCAGCAACTCCCTGCTCATAGAAGGGAGTGAGATGGGGCTGGGTGGTTGGAGAGGGCGAAGCAGGGGTGCCAGGTGACTGGCTTCGGGCTGTGTGGGTCTGAGGTTATGAAAAGGGAGAAAAAGCAGCTGAAATCTTTCAGGAAGGAAGCCAAGGACGATTGCAGGACAGTGCAATGCCACCCCCGGGTAGCCCCCACTGCGGGGAGAGTGCAGGGGGTGACAGCCTTGTGGCCGTGCCCCTGCGGCTGCCAGAGGGTGCGGGCTGCTCCAAAAAGGAGGACCAGGTCGGTGGGCCAGCCCAGGACGACGGATGGATGGACAGACAGATGTGATAGGATGTGCACACCAATTTTCAGTCCCCCCCAGGAGGTGACATAGTCCCTGAGCTTCCAGAGCTCTCTCCTACCTCACCCTGCTGCGGTGGCACATGGTGACAGTCGGTCTCCATTTCCCTCTAGTGGCTGCTCTGCACCAAGCTGGGGACTACTCCCAGCTGGAGATCATCCTCCAGCACCCGTGGGCTACATCCTGCATCCAGCCCCAGCCCCTGCTGTTGGGAGGCACTCCTCATCTCCCCACCCTGCCAAGAGCACCACCGTCCCCACAGCCCCTTGTTTCAGTGGCACTTGCTGAAGGCTCCTGGGTGGTCACGGTGCTGGTGGGGGCTGAGCTCACGTTCCTGCCCCAAGCGGTGCTTTCCCGGTACACAGGCTCGTTACCAGCACAGCCATGCTCAGAGCCGCATCGGTGCGACGATTTCACCACGGCGGCAGCAGTGGATTAGAAATTTGCAATTAGTTTTATTACCCGGCTAGCGCAGACCAGGCAGCTAATGAAGCACATCACGCGAGCAGGGTGGGCTGTGTGGGATGAAATATTTGTTACTCCTCACCAGCCAATGCCATGGCTGATGCCCTGCCAGGGCCACATAAATCACCCCACTCAGCTGTGGGACGAGAAAAAATTGGAGATTAACATGCTCCAGGGACTTATGGCTGCTCAGAGAGGGATGCTGGAGAGGGGATGGGGGTCCCAATGGGGGAACACCCTCCCAAAGCCCCTTCCCAGCTGGGAAAGGGGCTGGAGCCACAGGCGCAGCAGTGTGTGAGCACAGGGATCAGACCATGTTTGGCCATGCCCAGGTGCTCTGAAAAGCCAGGGTGCAGGGCAGGGTGCTCAGCTGCTGCACCGTGGAGAGGGGTTTGGGGTGCGGGCACAGAGCCACCCATGTGCCCTTTCCTTCTGGGGACACATGCAAACGTGGCCAGTGCCCGCAGAGCTGTGGGCGGGGAGCATCTCCCCAGTGGGATCCGGTGGAGAGGCACTATCGCTGCCTGGCACGCTAATTAAACCACTGTGGAGACGCCCTCCGCCGTCACCCCTCACTACACACACAAATTACATCCTATATGTGTTTTATTTACTGTGCCATTTTTAATTAAATCTGCAATCATTCGCTGGCAGGGCGGGGCTGAGCTCACCCTGATGGGGACAGGGACAAGATGGGAACTAGGACAGAGATGTCACCAGGAGGGCTAGCAGCTCTGGCCTCAACCGAGGGGTGCAGGCACTGCCAGGGCTGTTGGAGACATGTCAGTGCCCAGCCTAGTGCCTGGCTGAGGCTGGCAGCACTGCTCGGGGCTGCTCCAGGCAGGCAGGAGCCTGGCAGCCTGCTCACGGCCCCTTCTCCCAGGAAAAACCACGTCCTGTGACAGAGCCAAACAAGAAATCATCCTAAGTGCCCAGGTAACAGCATTCTGTGCATGCACGGCACTGGGAAATGGCTCGGGAGATACGGGCAGAGTAAATCACAGGTTGAAGGCACAGCTGTCTGAGGGAAGAAGTCTTCTTCAGCAGCGGTGCTGGGATGGAGGGATCCAGGATTCACCCTGGGGTGAAACCTGCCCATGTCCCACCAGCGCCTCAGGGCCATGGTGAAGCCTTGGAGTGGTGATGACGGTGTTTTGAAGAGGGACAAGTGTGGGAGGAAGCCTTGGGAGAGCTAAATATACTCCTTAATGCATGCCAGCTGCCCTGTAGCACCACACTGGTTGCTGTGCCAAATGCCAAGGAGAAAGGGCTGCTCCTGGGAGCTCTTGCACCCCAAAAATGCTTTGAGGGTCCCCCAGGAGGGAGCAGCACCTGACCTTGGCGTACTGCCGTCTGCTCACTCCTGCCCGCAATGGTTCGGCTGGCTCCTCCACGCCACAGTCCCGGGGTGGCCCAGCATGGGATGCCAGGGCAATCCCAGTTGTCTGGGGTGCCTGGAAGGGCCCTGTGAGTGCCAGGCAGTTCCTCTGTCCCTGAGGCAGCATCCCCACCAGCTAGCCAGCCCCATACCTGCCACACTGCCCCTCTATGCTCCACCAGTCCCCCTTGATTAATCACAGGCTGGGGCTGCCAGCAGCTTATCTTTTGCTTTAATAACTGAATAATTTAAAACTGCTGTTTGCCAGCATCTTAATTGCTTTTGCGTCAGGTGCGAGGGCCAGCGGGAATGCAGAGCAGGGCCTGGGAGGCTCCATATGGCCTCAGGAGGACACAACCCCTTGGTTTCCCAGCTGGTGGCTGTCCCCAGGGAGCAGGGCTGGCATGGTGGCTGGAGGAGCGGGGTGTTTTGCCAGGAAGGGGGTGAGATGTCAAGCTAGCTGTCCCCTGTGGTGGTTGTTTCTGCCTCAGAGGCAGGGAGCAGGGATGGTGAGTGCTTGGGGGAGCCCTGGAGGGTGGCTTCAGTCTCTGGGGACAAGGGACAGCAGGTTAATGCTGGAGCCAGATGGGAGTGAGGGGGCCAGGGGGTTGTGGGAGTGGCTGCAAAGCCCTTGTGGGCTCCTCCCTGGGAAGAGGCAGAGGGAACACACTGCCTTTCCGTCCCTGACATCACTGTGGAGACACCATGGTCTCTGTCACCCCCCAGCTCACCCCAGCTCCACTGCTTCCCCGCATCCATCCACCTGCCCCCAACTCTGTCTCCTGCAGCCACCGTCATCCTCAATGAGCTGAACTGGACACAGGCGCTGGAGGATGTCTTTATCGAGAACCGGAAGGAGGATCCCTCGCTGCTCTGGCAGGTGTTTGGCAGTGCCACCGGCGTCACCCGATACTACCCTGGTGCGTGGCGGGGGGGCAGTGGGGGCTGATTGCCAGTGGAGGACGCTGGTCAAGGGCAGTCCACGCCCTTCTCGCCATGAGATGTGGGCAAGCATCCTCTGATGCATGGCACACATAACTGTATTGTGACAAATCCCATTGGTGTGAGCTCCCAACCGGAGCCTGCCGCCTCCCAGCCCTGGGCGTCTCTCTGCCCTGTCCCCAACGTCCCCTGTCCCGGGACAGCCCCACCTCACTCACCACCTGCCTTCCCCCCACAGCCACCCCGTGGAGAGCCCCCAATAAGATCGACCTCTACGACGTGCGCAGGCGGCCCTGGTAAGGGGGTGCTGGGTGGGGAGTGGGGTCTCTTCACTGGCCCTTCCCGGCCAGCAGCAGCCAGCTCCCTCCACTTTCCATTTCACACATGGTTGGCATTGGCAAACAGACACACTAACACAGGCAGGGGCATCTGAGCTGCAGCTCTCAGCTCCCCTCCCCTCTTTCTGGGAAGGCAGAGCGGGATGGAGAGATAAATCTTTGGATACAGATCAAGGATGGAGAGCCATCCCTCGCTGCCAGCGCTTAGTCCCAGCCAGCATTCCCATCTAAATGGGAAAACAACCAGCTCTTGGAAACCGTGAGCCAGGAGGATGGAAACAGGCAAGCAGCACTAGGCTGTGGTTAAGCAATAGCTGCAAGCAGCCAGTTAGCCCACACCGAGTGAGTCGGCATTGAATCACTTCCCCTTAGCCCAGGTAGAGCTGCCGGCTTTGCAGCACAAATTATCATGCTGCCCGTGGGGCTGGGGGAGATGCAGCCCCGTCCTGCCCGTGGCTGCTGCCTAAAAATGCAGACACAGAGAGGAAAGTGGGTGCAGGTCTCCAGCATGTGCCCAGGGAGCCCTGTATCCCGGGGGAGCCGGGAGCTGCCACCTCTCCTGGTCAGAAGATTAGTGGCCCTGCTACCATGGTTAATTGTCTTTGATTGCTCCACATTAATTATTAACTGTTCTCCGTTGAGGCGGCCATGTGAGTTATTGGCAGCGAGGGGCTGGCAGGCCGTTTCGGGGGTAGCTGCTGATGCATATGAGGACTACCAAGCCCAGCTAGCCCAGCTCCTTGCCCACTAGCCAGGCTGGCCACCTGCTTGCTCACCCAGCCACAGAGGAGCAGCAACAACAATGGTGGGCAGCACACCCCCAGGGACACCCCTTTGGGGTCCTCTCCTGCTGGGGCCCGGTGCAGCACACAGCCCTCACCACTCCACTGCCAGGCCCAGCAGTGACCGTGTCCTGTCTGCAGCCTTGGCGGGGCCACTGGTGCCACTTGCCTGCCTTCCCCTCCCTTGACAAATGCCACTATTAACCACAGCCTTCTCCTGCGGAGCCCAGGAGCAGGGCAGCCAGAGATAGATGTGCTGCCACAACCCATTACGGACAGCATCTTAGTTGGGCTTGGTGCTGCACTGGCAGCCCAGCCCTGGGGAGCAGGACAGGCATTGAGCCCTCCAGCCTCTGCCAGCCCACAGGCAGCTACCTGCCCATCCTACATGCCAGCAGGAGCAGGGGGTGTTGGGGGGATGCAGCACCCACACCAGGATGGCCCCACGTGCTAGCATCCCTTACCCCACATTCCACCTGGGTAATCACTTGTCATTAAGGAACATCAGGACCTGGGATTAGCAATCAGAGCCTGCCCCTTCCCCAGTCCTCCCCAGTAATGGTGAGTAATTGATACTAATAACACACTAATTAATTTGCATCAGGCCTGATCCTGATCAGGACAATGATGAGGCTCCCTTGGACATCAGCTGTGGCAGGATCAGGCCCCATGCAGTGGGACAAGGAAGCTGGGTGTGCCTGGCCATTGCCGGGACGAGTGCTCAGCACCGCATCAGCTCTGTTCCATGCAGGAAAGCACAGTGGGACTGGGAGCGGGAGCGGGTGCTTTAAGGGGTGAGGAAGGGTTCCTTAATTGTTTTCAGAGGGGAGGATTTACATAGTGTTATTATTTTTCCTCCTCGTAGCTAAAAATAACCTAATCAGCCTGGCCTTTGAAGCTACCAGGGGGGTAAATAGCATCTTAATATGAATGTGTGTGTCAGCATAATCAGCACACAGAAAAGGGCCTGCGATGATGGAAGAGTTTAGCATTTAGAGCTCATTAGGCTGATACGGTACCGAGCGGTGGGTTGCTGGCAGTCTGCCGTGCTATGCTGTGTCGTGCCGCATCCTCACCTCTGCTTGCCCGCCGCTGCCTTGTCCCTGCTCCTCACCGCAGGGTCACTGCAGCCATGAGTGCACAGGTGTTCTCAGCACAGCTGTGCTCTTGGGCTTCACCTGTCAGGGTTGGGTTCCCCCCCAAAATGAGTTGACCCCACTGACACTGACTCCCTCTCCGCACCCCACAGGTATATTCAAGGTGCCTCCTCCCCAAAGGACATGGTCATCATCGTGGATGTGTGAGTACATGGGTGGGGGCTGTGGCCAGGCTGAGCCAGGCCAGGACGGTGGCACAGCTCGCTGGGGTGCCACTGTCCCACTAGTGGCCTCAGGGAAGCTGCATGGGACAGCGCTGACGGGGACCCCTATGTCCCCTCACTGCTGAGCCCTCAGCACCCCTCTCTCCTGCCAGGAGCGGCAGCGTGAGTGGCCTTACCCTCAAGCTGATGAAGACCTCGGTCTATGAGATGCTGGACACCCTCTCGGACGATGATTATGTCAATGTGGCCTCGGTGAGTGCCGCTGGGTGGCTCCCAGCTCCCCACCACGGGAGCTCTTTGCTCCCAGACTGACCTAGCCAGGGGCTCTGCAGAGCAAGGAATGCCTTTTTTTTTTTTTTTCATCTTAGCCACCCACCTGCACCTAAGCATGGAAATGGCTGCTCGGGGCTCAGCTGTATGTGGTGGTGAACGAAAGCTGCCACCATTATGGGGCGTTGGGCAGAGATGCTCCCAGGGCAATCTCCACCAGCCACCTCCTGTCCGTCATCAGCCAGTGACATCACGCCCCCTGCAGCATTGTCACCAGCCTGACCTCACAGAGCACAGTGGATGTGCCACTGCATCTGTGCATCGCTGGGCGCCAAGCCCACACCGGCCCACCCCTGTCTGGCCACAAGCACGCCAGCGCTAATTAACGTGTCTGGCCTGGCTCTGTTAGCTGGATCACTGCTCCTGTAATGAATGAGCCCTATTGCCAGCAAATGAGGCCGTAAGCGAGAGGCAGCACCTGCTCCCGCTTCCGGCACAGCACAGCACGGCATAGTGCGGCACAGCATGCCTGCTTGCACAAGCCCAGGTGTCCTGCAGAAGTGAGGGTGCAGGCAAACCCTGAACTGGCAGCACCCACTGCCAACACCTGTGCCAGGTGGCTCAGTGCTGGATTTGGCCCAAGCTAACCCCAGTCTCAGCATCAGCCATCCCTAGGACTTGGGACATGGGATGCTCCAGCCGCCTCCTGCACATGGAGCTGAGTGAGCCTGCTGAGGGCTCCCCCCCATCCCCTTTCTGCAACCTGCTCCCCTCCCTTTCGCCTCCCAGTTCAACGAGAAGGCAAAGCCGGTGTCGTGCTTCAAGCACCTGGTGCAGGCCAACATCCGGAACAAGAAGGTCTTCAAGGAGGATGTGCAGGGGATGGTGGCCAAGGGCACGACCGACTACAAGGCTGGCTTTGAGTACGCCTTCGACCAGCTGCAGAACGTGAGCTGAGGGCCGGGCTCGGGGGGCAGAGTGGACCCAGGGATGCTGGGGGCGATGGGAGAGTTCCGAGCACCTGGCTGCTGACCTCTGCAGAGAGCTCCTTGTCCTCTTTTGCAATGCTAGGGGGAACATCCTACACCCCCAGCACGCTGTAGCCAAGGTTTTGCAGGAGCCACTGGCCCTCTGGGTTATTACAAGTCAGCAGGGCTGGGTGGAGGGGGCTGGATCCAGCCAGACACCATGCCAGAGGCAAAATAAAGATGCATGGTGCTATTAGGTGCTAAGCATCAATAGCCACAACATCATTTCCAAGCAGACAGTGTCCCTCCTGCCCATTCACCCCAGCCACCCTCACCAAGGAGAAAGAGAACAAGAAAAGAGATGGGTCAGTGCCAGCCCTCCTGGCTGCATCCAGCCCTGTGCCTGGGCAGCTCGCTCTGGGTCCAGCCTCAGGCACTGTCTCTCTGCCCCACAGTCCAACATCACACGTGCCAACTGCAACAAGATGATCATGATGTTCACAGATGGCGGCGAGGACAGGGTGCAGGATGTCTTTGAGAAGTACAACTGGCCCAATAAGACGGTGAGGGACTGTGGGGCTGTGTGCGGGACTGGGGCCACTCGCTGGGGAGGAAGGCGGCTGCTCCAGCTCCATTGCCAGCATCTGCCTCATTTGCCTGATAACCATCCTCTCTCCCCAACAGCCTGCTCCTGTGCCGAGCCACTGCCCTGGTAATGGGATGGCTGACGCACCGGTGCTGTCTATGGCTGGCTCCCACCTGGCATGTGGGAGGGGGTGGGGCTGGTGGGCTCCCCAAACGCTGGCCCCAGGGGGAGCACACCCCAAGCATGCAGAGAGGGCTGCTGGCAGGTAAATGAACCGGCAGGAGGGTCCCCATTGCCACCCAGGAACTGGAGACCCCTGGGGTGGCGGGGGTTCTGGTCCGTGCAGGACCCTCAAAGAGTGCAGACCTCCCTGTCTGCAGTGATGCCCCAGCACGAGGACCCCTGGGGTAGGTGGCTTTGGCCAACGCAGTGATGCTGTGGGACAGGACTGGCCGGGGCTGGGTGAGGAGACAGGGGCTCCCTTGCTGCCAGCACAGACAACAGTTGTAAGAGCGTTCTTCTGCCCACTTGTGCTTGGCTGTGGGCAGCATGGTCTGTGGGCAGTGGCAGGCAATGCCACACTGTCCCTGGGGAGGTTGCCGTCATCTGGGGTGTGGAAGACCAGGGTGCCCAGCGGACAGCCTTCACCGCTGCGCTCTGGCACAGGTGCGGGTCTTCACCTTCTCCGTCGGGCAGCACAACTACGACGTGACCCCACTGCAGTGGATGGCCTGCGCCAACAAAGGTGAGTGGTGGTGGCACCCAGCAGGCACGGGAGGCTGCAGGGTGCTGACCTTGCATGGGGGCTGGCACTGGTTCTCCAGTATGTGCTGCTGCCAGCAAGGCTCTGACTGCAACCCTGGAGGGCTTGACAGCAGGACAGCCAGACTGGCAGACAGGCAGACAGCTGGCTCTCCAGCTGCCTTTCTCTTTCTTTTCCAAGGTTACTACTTCGAAATCCCCTCCATCGGTGCCATCCGCATCAACACGCAGGTACGGCAGGGTGCTGGCAGGCAGGGTGCTGGCAAGCAGGCAGTGCCACCCGCCTGGTGCGGGCAGAGCTGCCCTCCCCAGGTGCCCTGTCTGGGGGCATGCTCAGGCAGCCCCAGCCCCACTGCAGAGAGCCTAAAGGCTGGTGGCAAGTGTGGCAGCAAACTGGGGAGCCAAGCCGAGCCCTCAGCCAGGCCTCGTGCTGTTGAAATAAGTAATTCATCTTCTGCAGCTCCCCACGGACCTGCTGCCTTTTGTGTGACTAATTATGAAACATCAGGCATTAATCAGCACAGAGCAGAACTGAGCACAGGCAGGGAGCAAGCACAGGCAGGGTCAACCCCAGCAGCACCCTGTTCAGCAGAGCCAGGCGTGTCCGCCTCACACCCCCTCCCACTGCCCTTATTCTGCCCCTTTTCTTTATCGAATGCACACGAGGTGCCGTGGTGGGCAGGTGACAGGGGTCCTCGAGCAGGGCAACCCCTTGGGGCAGCGTTGGCATCATGGCACAGGAGCTGTCCCCCAGCCCAGAGGTCTGCCTTTGCAAGGTGAGCCAGGATAAGAGAAAACTGCCCTAGGAGAAGATCCCAAAAGGCCAGTTGTGGCAGCCAGGGAGACAGAGCAAGCCCAGCCCTGGGGACAGCTGGGAGGCAGGTGGGCTCTGGCTGGTGCTGGCTGGGGACCCACATCCATGCCCATGCACAGCCGATTGCAAGCAATACCTTGTTTGCATCTCAGTGGTCCCATTCCCAGCTGGAGCCGTTACCCTCAGATTTGGTAGCTGCCAAGCCCCTTCCCCTAGCTCAGCCTGCAGCTGAAGTCCAGTGCCGAGCACTCTATTAATAATCCCTGGGGCATGTGTGGGGACAGGATTGTCACTGGGTTGGAGCAGGGAGGCATCTGGCTCCCATGTCATGCTTTCCCCTGCCCTGTGTCCCTGCAGGAGTACCTGGATGTGCTGGGCAGACCCATGGTCCTGGCGGGGAACCGAGCCAAGCAGGTTCAGTGGACCAACGTCTACCAGGATGCTCTGGTAAGGACCCCCAGCCCCAGGGTGCAGGTGGAGACACTGGCCTCAGGGTCCCACACAGCTCCAGGGTGCAGGTGGGGACCCCCAGCCCCAGGGTGCAAGTGGGGACACCAGCCCCACGGTCCCACACAGCATATGCCCCCATCTCCCTTGCCAGGGGGATAACCCCCCCTTCTGCTGCCCACCCCCAGCTCTGGGTCCTAGGGCTGGCGAGGGGCCATGGGACACCCTTCTGTGCTCGTGCAGGGGCTGGGCCTGGTGGTGACAGGCACACTGCCGGTGTTCAACCTGACGGAGGACAACAGTGACAGGATTGGGCCTGCCACTGCCCTGGCTGCACTGGGACCCCCAGTGTGGGGCTGCAATGGGATAGGGAGGGTGCCTTGACACTGAGTCCATGGCTGTAGGGGTGGGCACTGGCACCCCTGGGGTGCTGCCTGCTCTGCACCCCCTCCCTGGGTTGCAACCAGGGGTGACTGCCATTCCCGGGAGCCAAAATGGCCTTGGCTGGTTCTCCCGGTTCAATGGGAACAGCTGGCAGCTTTAAGTCCCGGCGGGGTGCAGTGTCCCATGGAGGGCTGCTGGGTGGCTGGCTTGTCCTGCCCTGTGCTCCTGCAGTGTCCGGATCTGACCTCCACTTCCCCAGAGGGAGAAGAGGTCCATCCCCCTGTTTCCCTGGCCCTGTGCTGGCAGTGGCAGATGACAGCCCTGCTCCCACCCACCTCCCTCCCTGCGCTTCCTTCCAGAACCAGCTCATCCTGGGCGTGATGGGGATCGACGTGGCTCTCAATGACATCAAGAGGCTGACACCGCGATACAACGTGCGTGGGGCCCCTTCCCCTCCATCCCTGCCCTGCGCTGCCCAAACCCAGCATGGGAGCCCGCTGCAGGGAGCCCTGAGCTGTGCCCCACAGCACCCAACAGCACCTCCAGCAGCACTGATGGTAGCAGGGTGCAGAAGCCATGGTTGCAGGCAGGGACCAGGGCAGGCAGGTGGGCAGGGATCAGAGCTGGGTGCTACTCTGGGACGCAGAGCAGAGCCAAAACCCTTGCAGGGTCAGCGGGCCATAAACCTTACCAGCCTGGAAAAAGGGGCAGCGGGCAAAATCCAGAGCCAGGGTGAGATGCTGTTGGCCTGAGAATAGAAATAGATGGACAGAAAAGGCTGAGCCCCAGGGGTGGCATGGGGCAAGCTCTTCCTGCAGAGGTGAGGGTGATGGCACAGCACACCACAGAGCTGCCTGGCCAGCCTCATCCCTGCTCCTGTCCTCCCACAGCTGGGGGCAAACGGATACGTCTTCGCCATTGACCTGAACGGCTATGTCCTGCTGCACCCCAACCTGCAGCCCCAGGTGAGGAGGGGCCTGTCGGGGCAGCAGCCACAGGGGTTAATGAGACATGCAGCTTCTTGGGTTCATTAGGAGCTAATTGTGGGAATTGTGATAAGTTTATCTGGACTCAGCAGCAGCTGTGGGAGCCCTGAGTCCTTCCCTGGCTCTCCCTTTCTGCCTGCAGATCATCAATTTCCGTGAGCCAGTGACATTGGACTTCTTGGATGCTGAGCTGGAGGATGAGAACAAGGAGGAGGTGGGCAGACCTGGGGCCAGCTTTTGGGGTACAGGCTGCCCCGCCCCCCAGTCTGCAGTTGCAAAGGGCGCTCGTCCCTTCCAGCCTGTCCTAGAGAGCACCTCATCCTAAGGGCCCCAGCACAGCTTCCGTGGGGCCACAGCAGGGACGGGAGCTGGGTGACTGTCCCTTGGGTGCCTGCATGATAAGCCATCCTCCAGGCTGCTTGCCCCTGCACCCCACGAGTCCCCAGGGTCACCCCACTGGGATGGGTGCCTGCAGGTGCGTGGCTAGGCTCCGTGGCCCTCAGTTGCCTCCTCCATGTCCTCAGATCCGGAGAAGTATGATTGATGGGAACGATGGGCAGAGATTCATCAAGACCCTCATCAAGTCCCTGGATGAGGTAACACTGCAGGGGAAGGGGGTCACAGCTGACACTGTCAGCGTGCTGAGCACCCAGCCCCGGCGGTGGGGAGTGAGGGGCTGTGTCCAGCACTGGGCTCGGAGCTGGGGTCCTGTGTCACCGTGCCAGCAGGGTCCTGGCACTGCGGAGGCCTGACTGGCTCCCTCTGATCCACAGCAATACATCGACGAGGTGTTCAGGACCTACACGTGGGCCCCCATCAAAAGCACCAACTACAGGTGAGTGGCACTGCTGGTGCACCTGTGCTCATCCAGCATCGGTTGGACCCGCACCAGCACAGGGCTGCGGTCTTGTGCCTGCAGCTCGGGAGGTCCCTGAGGCCACCAGGGACATGTCCCATGGGCTGCAGGATTGCAAATGAGTCAAGCCATGGTCCCCAGGGCTCAGGACAGGTGCTGCAGGGCTGCTGTGCAAGGTGCCAAACAAGGGACACCCCTACCACCACTTGCCTGCACAGGCAGGGGCTCGCACAGTCTCTGCCTGCTCCAGGGTGGGTGACAGTGACATGCACCCACCCTGCAGCACAGGCAGTGGCTTCAGAGGCAGGGCAGAGCAAAGCTTCCTTCTGCGTTTATCGCCAGGTCTGCACCTGTTTGGACCAACAGATGTGTAAAAAAAGACCCTGGCATCATCATGTTTGTGCAGTCCAACTTGTGCTGCCTTCATCTTATGAGAAGCTGTGTGGTCCCCCTGCTGCCCAGTGTACCCTCCTCCTCCTCCTCGCCACCCGGCTCGGGAGGGGCTGGCAAGGGTCACAGCCACCTTCTAAGCACTGCCAGGTGCCCCCTGCACAGCCCTGGTCCTTTCCCCCCCACGGTGGCACCCCACTGGAGCCAGGCAGCACTGTTGAGGAGGAGACAATGACATGGGGTGACACAGGTGTGGCCAGGGCTGCAGGTTGATCTGTAGGGCAGAAGGTGCTGGCAGGGGCCCTTGGCTTTGCACCGTAGCAGGGATGTTCTCCAGGGTTCCCTGGGACACCGTCAGCACAGGGTGCCACCAGCACTGAGCAGAAAAAAGTCGCCACCCTCCTCTTGCCACCTGTGGTTTGGGGTGCCACCACCTCTCTGCACTCTATGTTGGTGTGCCACCACCTCTGCCAGGCTTGCTGGGATGCCTAATCCATGCTGCTAGGCGCAGACAGGACTAGGTGGAGGGGTGGCTTGGGGGGTCAAGTCTAGATCTCAGTGGCTCAGGTGCAGGTGTGACATCTGATGAGGGTCAGGAATGTGGCCCTCGCCCACCGGTGCTCACTTATTCTGGGCAGCACCTGTAACTGAAGGCCACCAGCCACTGCAGCTGGCACCCAGGAGCCCGGCTCCCTCCAGCAGCATGTCCCATGGCTTCAGCAGCCCCAACACCATCTCCTGCCACCTCCTTTTGCACCCGCATCCTGCACCCTGTTTGCCAGTCTCCTGGCTGGTGGATCATTCTCCTTCCTGGCTCACCAATAGCTGGTGCCTGTGTAATGGTTATCTTCAGTCTCTTCTCACTGGGAAGAGTCTGTTTTTTCGAGGGCTGTGTCTCTTTCTGCCTTCCTCTCTTATGGGGGTGTTGTGTCCTTCTTCCATGTGCTTCTCCCTTGGTTCCTGGGTGGGCACATCCTGCCAATCTCAGCTCTGGCTGGACAGGCTTGCTACCTCGTGTGCTTGGGGGTGCCCTCAGGATGGCCCTGGGTGCCACCAGGATGACCCTAGGTGCTCTGGGTATGGCCCTGGGGACAACCCCAGATGCCACCAGGATGGCCATGTGCAACCCAGGATGACGCTGGCTGCTCTAGGGACAAACCTGGGTGCCCGAGGATGGCAGTAGGTGCACTGGGGATGACCCTGGATGCCACCAGAGTGGCCCTGCATGCTCCGAGGCTGGCCCTGGTTACTCCAGAATGATGCTGGGTGCTCTGGGGACACCCCTGGGTACCAGAAGGATGACCCTAAGCACTCTGTGGATGACCCTGGATGCCCCAAAACAACCCTGGGTGCTCTAGGGATGACCCTAATTGCCCCCAGGACAGCACTGTGTGCAGTCTGGAGAGAAGGACGCAGCAGGCTCTGCAGGAGGCCAGCAGGGCTGCTGCCTGACGTCAGCCAGGGCCAGGTGCTGGCGTGAGGTGCCAGCCAGGGGGCTGGGGGCCAGCCAGGGGCTCTGGGTGGGTGTAAAGCCTTACACCACCTGTCTGCTCTCCCCCTCTGCAGCCTGGGGCTGGTTCTGCCTCCCTACAGCACCTACTACATCCAGGCCAACCTCAGTGACCAGATCCTGCAAGTGAAGTGTAAGTAGCCCCTGGCTTTCCCCGCCGCCCTTTCGCACTCCCACTCGCCCCCACGCCAGCCCGTGGCTGTCAGGGGGAGAAACATGAAGCAAACACTTGCGAAAACAGATAGAGATCACTATGAGAGGCCAAAAAAAAAAAAAAAAAAAAAAGAAAAATTCAAAATAAGAAAGGCATGAGTAGAGGTGAATGCACAGAGGGAAAGCGAGCTGCCTGCCTGGGGTGCCACGGGGTGCCAGGGTTTGGTCCTTATGCTTTGCACCCCAAAACCCAAGCCCCAGGCTGCAGGCAGGCACTGCCCGGCGCAGACAGGGGCTGCTCTGCTGCCTGTTCGCCTCCTGGGGACGAGGGATGACACTGTAGCAGCCAGTTTATTTGTGAGCCTGGGAAAGTTTGCATGGATCTCCTTAATTTCCTTTGGTTTATTACGATTATTTGGTTTCAGTTTAAGCCATTTATTATTCTTTTTATGAGTTCGGTTTCGATTTTCATTTGGAATTAATCTATGTATGTGTGTGTTAGCCTGGCCCGCCCCCCTTTCTCTCTCTTTCTCTCTCCCCTGACCCCCAAGCCTTTTTCCCACCACAGGTCCACTCTGCTCCCGGGGACCCTCTCCCCTGTGGGAGAACCGGACCCTTCCCCTCTCCCCTCCAGTTCCCCCCGTTTCTCCCCCTCGGCCGCCCTGGCGGCTCAA